CACCAACTTAGAAGTTGTTGATTTACAGATCTCCACATTTCTCTCAGGTTGGCAGTGATGGGAATTAAAATACAGCGTTTGGAAAACAGAATACCACAGCACCATTAAATAGCTATTGATGTCTTTTCTACCCTCATGCGCTTTAAATAATTCTACCCTCATTGCTTTATTGTTGAGGACTTGTACTTTAGATGTTTCCAGTTTCAGTTTGACATGAGATCATCACAACCTGCAGATATAGTAAGCTGTTAAACCTTGTGCTTCGGGGAATCTTTTAGAAGCATCTCACATTTCACTGATTACACTGACATTAGAGATGACTAGTGAGCTTTTGGATATATTGGCAAAAAAAAAAACAACTAAATTATTTATTTTAAAGAGCAAACACATTTAAGATTTTATCTGCATTGTTGCTGCAATCGTATCACAGGAATTAAGCAGATGGCTTTCTTTTGCCTGAGTGACCAAAATGCCATGTGACTTATGTAGTTTCTTTATGTGAAGGCTGAGCGGTTGCGATACTCTCCATATCCAAAGGTTGATTTGGCCCTGTCCTGTCAGAGTAACCCGCGTGACGCTTTAACCTTGGATGCTGCATTAACTCCTGGGTTTGGCTCTGCAGAGGTGATAGTGAGGTGTTAAAGAGACAGACGTTATGCACCGTGTTGCTCTGCTCCTGTCACTCTGTTTGCATTATTAATTTCCTTCAAGTCAGTTTGTTTTGGAAAATAGAGACGAAGAGGTTCTTGGAATGCTCGTTGTGGTAATTTGTTGGTTGCCACTTTGCATTTTTAATCGCCTCTTTGTTTAGTTACGTTGTCACAGCTTTGTGTCTTTAAAAATGTCTTTGTGCATCAGCCTTTGTCATGACATTTTCAGATTGTTCCTTTTATAGCACGTGTCAAGCTTGAGGCCTGTGGGCCAAATCCAGCCCGCCACAGCTTTTTATGTGGCCCTCTAAGTTCTAGACTGAACACTAAATGTGCTTAAATATTATTTTATCAGTCAAATCAGTGCAGTTTTTCTGTTTGCAGCCAAATTATATCAATCAGTCCCTCCAGTTTCTTACAAATTATTACCGAAATTCATGCAAAATCAACAAATCCCCACACTTTTTTTTTTGCACCCATACGTAATTGGTGGTTTATAGCAGATGTTCCACAAAAATGGTCAAAAACTTTCTTACTTGTACTAAACAGCTACCTCAGCCTTAATTGATGTCAGATAACAGTCCATTTTCTATACACAGTGAGTAACAAAAAGCTGCATTTACCGTCATAAATATTTCCAAATTGGTACCACAAACACTTTGATTCTATTGCAAAAAAATCACAAAACAATGGTGAAATCCTTGGGGGACTGAAAAGATGTTAAATATGATTTAATTTTAACAGTTTGTGAACGGGTTTTATCAATACATTCTGGCACAACCGACTCTTTAAGAACATTCATGATCTTGATTTGGCCCAAAGCTAAAATGAGTTTGACACTCCTGCTTTATAGGATATTTACCTCCATATTTTGCGCTGGTTTGCAAAATGTGGGAACAAAAATTCCCCCCATTGTTTCGTTTCATCCAAACTACCTTCAAATTGACACATTTTATCCAGCTGAAATTCAATCCTGTAATCAGGTTCAGATCCAGTTTAATATCCACCGAAACTGGGTTGTTTTGATACGCATACATTCACTCACAGAAAGCTAAAAATGAACCCATAAACCAGATAATGCATTTATCAACAAAAAGAAAAGGGAATATCCTGTAATAGTCGAGAGGAAATGTAACTGATTCTCCCTTTATGTGCACCTACTTCACATATTTCTAAGACGTTTACAACATACAGTGACTACGAACGAGTCAAAACAGTTCTGCATTTGTCCCAATGTACCGCCTGTGTCTGCTTTAAATTGGACTTTTTTTTTAGCAAGGACAGAGTTGCGGATGCACAGAAGTATGAACCAGACATATTGCCTCGTGGAAAAAAACAAACTCAGCTGTGTGAAACTAGCGCTTTACTTCCAGCTGCACACAGTTGTCACAGTGAAGCTTTCACCAGGGACTTCATCAGGTCCTGCTAGATGAAGGTTAATAAGATGAATCCCCTGCTCCACCTGCTTCCTCGGCAGTATTTTCACCTTCCAGTCCAGCGGGGCTTTCAGCCCTTCCTCAGAGTCTCGCTGTCTTGTTATAATTTATCCCACCAGGAGGCTCATTACCAAGCCGAGCTGCTAACTGTTTCCCAACAATCATACCCTCAACAGTACACAGGGCGAGCAGCCATGAGTGGCAACATCTCGGCTCGCACGGACTCATCGCGGTGGAGTTCTGCCCTCGGTAAGCACTTTGTGCGAGCGAGGCTACATTTCAGCGTGCCCCCTGCTTGTTTCTGCTGAAGTAGATGGTGCCACATTATAGTTGGTAACCTAAAACGACCCAGAGACTGCAGCAGTTAGCAAAACGATGGGACAGCTCGGGGAAAGAAAAAAAAATGTTTGCTTAGACAAAGTGGACAAAATCAGCTGTTTAAGCATGCTTTTATTACCCAGAGCATCATCCACTGGCATAATGAGCTAATAAAGGAATAAGGACACCCATTATTTTAATTTATACACTCATCTGTACGAGAAAACATGGGGTTATGCGTGTATCCAGACAAACAATTTCATTACAGTTGCTAACGTGCTTCTATAGTTAAGATTAGCCTACTTACAGATTTGTTTATGAGCACAGAGTTAGACCTTCGCAGCTGCTTATCTGAATGAATCAGGTCAAACAGGATGGAGTGCTTTTTTCTTTTTTCTTTCATTTCTCGGTTTTGCAGATCATCTTGGTATAGAGGCTTGCAGAATCAAGTAGGAGGTTCAGTGGGAATTGTCTGCACGGTTATAAAAATACCAACGATGGGCTCTCCCCTAGATGAACGCCAGAGAGCCGCATATATGCAAAGACGCCTGACAGGCAGTGGCACTTTAAAAGTCAGGGATGATTTCTGCTGAAAGCTTCTGGGTTTTTTTTTTTTTTAACATGTTACTGGTTGGATGTGTCATAGTCAAGACATTTTAGTGAAAAGCATCAAGAGAAAACATCAGTTATGCTTTGGAAAGCTACTGACTCCTACGCTGTTTGAAAAAGTCAGGAAAGTTGTGGAAATTGATTTCACTTTTTTCAGGTGTGGATAAGTATGTAAAATAAAAATTTAAAAAATATGGTAAATAATTGTATTTCCAGATTTTATTATGTCTATATAAATAATGTATAAACAACTAAGAACTGTGGAAAAGGCAAGTATGGGATTTTTTATTTTTTAAACGAAGGATGGTTTGGTATTTATCTGCGTCGAGACGTTTGGGTGAATCCAGCGTTAGTATTCAAACGCCTTGAAAACGCTTTGGCGCAGGCTGCATCGAGCCGTGTTCTCCTCCGGCCCCGCTATCAGCCACAGTCTGGACAAAGTGCACGCTGAGCCAAGGTCACATCCTCACGCAGCCCACGCTGTCACGCTGTGGCTTATGTCATCACTTAATCAAGGGATCAAGGGTGACACAAACACAGACGTTTGTTTATATTTAGGCGGCTGCGACGAGAAACGAGACGCCGAGCAGAATCTGCGCTGACGTGTGTTTAGGACGTGGAAGTTGCACCATATTGTTGGCGTTTGTTTGCCAGCATAACCAAGATCTGATTTTCTTATTGTGACACAGATTACAGGATATTGTGGCAACCCTGAGAGTGTAGTTTAATCAGCTAACTGAAGTAGATGCTATCAGATGAAACTATGCAGATAATGATTTGAGTTCTGTTTTTTTTATTTTTTTATTGCTGGAGTAGAGGAAGGAAGACATTGGAGGGTGAATCTAATCTGTGTCTTCTTGTCTTATTCTAATGTTGCAGATGCAAACTCTTTATCTAACCCTCTATCAAGGGTATATATTATCACTTCTTTAAGAAATTACCTAATTAATATTCAGTTGGTGACACAGCTGGTTTCCCTTACTTAATAAAAAACGGTCTTCAATCACATTGACTAATTTTATTTTTCTAAATATATATAATAGAAGCAGCTTCAGTTTTTTTCCTTTTGGCAAAAGCACTTTTAAAACCGTATTTTGCATAAAAAAAAAGCACCCTAGTTTTAGCTACACACACACGCTATCTTTGTGGGGACTTTCCATTGACTTCCTTTCATTACCCTAACCTTTACCCTTTTCCTAACCCTTTCCATCACATACCTAACCCTAACCAAAACTCAATTCACACCTTAGTCCTAACTCTGACCCCTGACCGAAAAACAGGGTTTTCCCTTGTGGGGACCAGGCTTCGGTCCCCACAAGGAGCAATTGGACCCCACAAAGTAGTATATGTCAGGAAAATCGTCCCCACAAGGTATTACAAACAAACACGCACGCACGCACGCACGCACACACACACACACAGACAGACGGATTTATGCAGGTCGCTGGTCTAAATTTGTTAGAACAAATTCATTTCTATTGTGCTTTTCTTTATGCATCATTATGCAGTGTTTGCTGCAGGACAGCCTGGCTGCGATCTGATCACAGTCTCGGTTGAAAGAAAAAGGATTTTCCTGGATTGTCCCCAAAACAAATGACTAGTGTACAAATGATGTCTAATGCTTGTTATAAAGTTCTTGATAACTAGACGCAGACATTTAGAAGTGATAAATAAAAAAGTTTGTTTCATTAGATTTAGGCAAATAGTGGGGGCTACCAACAACTAAATAATTCTTAGCAGGAGCTTTTTCCTACTAAATGAATGTGTTGTCCTCTGTGACAACATGGTTCTGTAATAAACATACATTTACTTAACCACAGGAGACTGTGTCCACTTCTGTTCCTTGAAATTTAAAGTGATAATTCATGGCACGAAAATATACACATGCAATTGCAAACGGTTCTCATTTCTGCTCCGAAGTGCTGCCATATTTTTTTTTTATCTTTCTCTTTTTTGAGCGTGGTAAAGTCTCTGTTTCTGCCTTCAGATCACAGATGTGTCCTTGCCAAACTACCTGGTGGCCTCCTCCATGGGTTTGTTGCCCACACAGCTCCTCAACTCGTACCTGGGCACCACCCTGCGCACCATGGAGGACGTCATCGCCGAGCAGAGCATCAGTGGCTACTTTGTGTTCAGCCTGCAGGTGAGACGGATAGATGCGATATCAAGCTACTCGCATGTGTAAGAGAAATGCTATAACTGAATTTATGAATAATAATGAGTGACTTGTATATAAAATAGGGAACTGGGTTTCAGCTGTCTTTATGCCTTGAAGCACAGATCCGCTTTGTATATTCAGAGTTCTCCTAGAAATGTCCAAGGTCAAACATGGACGACCCAGGTTGCACCAGCAAATCCTGTTTTCCTTCTTCCAATTTCTCGATTTCTGTATTATATTTAACCCCTTAAAATAAACACTTTACAGAGTCTTTAAAGCAGCTGACACACAACCACAAACTGGCACTGTGTCAAAAATGATCCGACGAGAGGTTTTTCCACTAGCTGCGGTTCAGTGACGTGTTTAAGTTCTGCTAGTACATTAGATCAGCTGTGTCAGAACAAATCCAAAAGCTCGCAGCGCCCGAAGGAACGACCTTCTAGTGAGAGCAGATGCTCAGCTTTCTTCTAGTTCCTATTCTCTTGTACTTATGCAGTTTTCTCAATAACTCATAGAATGTTTATCAAGTCCCACTTGGAATTATTTTATGCTTACTGTTGTTTTTTTTTTGTGTAAAGGCCAGTGTGTGATTCAGCTTCATCTGCAGGGGTTGGGCCTGTGTAACGATAGATAAGCATTGGTTGGCCTTGGTAGCAGCTTCACACTGCAACAACATACATGAGCAAGGTTGAACAAACATAGTGTCATGATATGTAATGTGCACTTTGCTCGAACGTTTAATAATGCACTTGGGGAAAATAGGTGACGCTTGTTCCTGAGGGCAGGGAGCCACACCCTCAAAATGACATGTAGCATTTTCATAAGACACACACACCTTTCCAAGAAGTGTGTTTGTCTTTCTAATAATAGATTTCTCCTATTATTGGGCTCTGTTGTTTCATTTGGCTTGACACCAAAGCACACCTGCTGCCGAGTCTGCCTTTGTTCTAACTTAATTCAGCCCATTGGAAATATGTCCTTAAATATTAAAATTGGATTTGGATGCTTCATTATGCATGTCTACGGCTGCACTATACCCAGTTCTAACAGAATAAGAAATCCCACTTTACAGATATTGACTGAATCAGTTTCATCCAGCTGTTTTCGAAACAAAAACGTAATTCTGATGCAAACTGCAGTTAAATTGCATGTCTGCAAGCGTAAAAATAGTTTTAATACATGAAAAGAAATGACACATTAAGTGAACTAAGCGAATCATGAGATTAAGCAGCCAATACATGACTTTGAAAAAAGAAAACGGAGCCCAGTGAGCAGTGGGGATGAATTCAATGTCGAGGCTGCAGGTGGACCTCAGTTTGACATGAGTCGGTGTTGACTGTATTTATAGCTCAGGCATGGTCTTTTATACTTTTGTCTGGGATTACAGTATGCAAAACTGGGTGCTGTAAAAGTGGCATGTCTAAGTGGCACCTTAGAATACAAATTTAGTAAGCTCCATAAAAAAACAATGCAAAAATGACATTTGCATGTCATTTTTGCAAATGACATGCAAATGTCATTTACATTTGACTGAAATGCAGACATTTTTATTTTATTTAGCTTTATAAATTAATTATATCCTTTTATTTTAGTTGTATTTTTATCATGACATTAAAATACAAAAAAAAATACTTTTGTTTGAGTGCAAAGAAATTGAGAGAGTAGTGCTAGATGGATGAAAACAACACTTGCTCCAACTTTTTGTTTTTCTGGTAAAGTAGGTCAACATTTATTCGTTAAATATCTAAAACCAGTGGTAGATGTGAAGAAAACTTTTTTTCTTTTAAACCCAATGTTTACTAAATCAAATGAACCATTTGACCTTTAGATGCATTTAAAACAATGTCACTGGAGTTGAGAATGATAGAAACAAAAGTTGAAAACTCACCTAAATACCTTAGAAATATTTGGACAGCATTTTTAGTAAATAAAACCTGCAACCTAATTTTTGTCCAAAAAGACTAATAAATCCAGACATGTTTGTCTGGTCACTTATGGAGTTGCTTTGCTAAGTTGTTACTTCCAGTCCAGCTCATGCATTATAAATACATTAATTAAATGTTCCCTCATGACATGGGCTGCTGAGCTGCATTTGGGTCACTGCAGGTCATAGTTTATGAAATGGGCTGATTAATCATTGTGGTCATTACTGAGGTTCAGGCAGTCTGTTCTGTGCCAGGTCGGTGTGCACGGTGTGATGCTGTGCGCTTCTGCAGGACTCTTACAGCAGCTGAAAAATTAAAACATATTTATTTTGTGTTTTACGCCATAAGGAAACATAACCCACCATACTTACCCGTTACCTGATCGAATACTCCTGTCTTACCAAGAATTCCAAGGAATTCTGGGTAAATATAACCAAAGCAAACCTGTGTATCTAGTCCTAGCGAGAGGGGGAAAAAAAGGGAAATCCTACAACTGCTAAAATTCTGAGGAAGTTACGCTCAGAAGTTCTTGTGTCGTTTCCTTCATCGGTTCTTGATGCAGCGCCACCACAAGCAAGGAGGGGAATAGGTTTTTCAAAGGGTTTAATTGGTTTGACACAGTTCAAGAAAACCAGACCAGCTGAAAATGTAGGAAATGTTGCAATATTTGTTCCCCAGTCGAACAGAGTCTACAAGACACCCTAAAACGATACAAACCCAAAAATGAGCTCGTGCTGCGTTGCTTGTCTCCACAGATCATCATCAGCATCGGGCTGATGTTCTACGTGGTCCACAGAGCTCAGGTTGAGCTGAACGCTGCCATCGCTGCCTGCCAGATGGAGCTCAAGTCGTCGCACATGAACGGCTCCTCCACCAATCACAGCGACTTCTCGTACTGCAGCAAGAGGGCGGCGGCCGGCGGCGGAAACTGCATCAACGTGGTGTGACGACCAGAGACTCCGGTTAGCTCCACGGACCAGAAGACTCGGCTTTTAAGACCGGACAGCTTAAGAAGGAGCCCACTGAGTTCTGGAGTCCAGAGCGTACTGGTGGCAAAGTTTACCATTTATCCTTCATGACGTCACGTTCAGAGGGAAACCCTGAGAGCGTCTGGGTTCTGCGGTTTCTGTTCTCGACATGTTGGGACCACGCACCCTTCGATAAGGAACGGTGTCGTGAAAAATCCTTTTTGTGGTTTGTCATCCTAATACGTTTTATGAGTTAAGTTTATTTAGGTACCTCGTAATATCTGCTGTTACAGGAGATGTCAATGAAACAATGACTTTCAGAAATATCAGAGGTGAGGCGAAACAAGCCTCACCGGCCGCTTGGTGTTGTTATGAATGTGCAATCTGGAGCTTTCTAGAGAACCAAGGAATCGACTTTCTGTTGCCGACCTATGCACCTTTACTTCGTGCGGTTCTGTTTCATTTCAGGTGACTTTATCCACACCCGGTTGCTCATTTACAGTTTACTAACAAGGGCATTATGAATACTTTGAAATCATTTCGCTTTAGCCGTTCGTTCTTTTTAAAGTGCCCTCGTTTCGAGAAGTCTCCAAGCTCTTTCTGCTGGTTTATTAGTTTTGTTCGGAGCTGCCGGAACAGGAGCAGCTTTCGCAGCAGGACACTCAGGAACGCCTCTTCCAGGAAGTTTAGGCGAGGTATGAAGCCAGGGCAGTGATTCCTGCGTTGGAAGCACTGGGTCAGGTTTTTCCTGGAAAATCCTAGGGTTTGATTTTACATCTTTGTTTACTTTTGACTGCGATTGAGGGAAACAAAAAAAAAAAAGGAAAATTAGAAAAACATTGAAAGAAATAATGCATTTCAGTAATTAAATTAACAAAGGAATTTTAACGCTTAGTGTTATATTTCAAGTGTTTATCTTTGTTATTATGGCTTACAGCTAATGAATACTTCAAATTCAGTTTACTAGAAATGTGCTGAATTTACATATGAGGAATCGAAAGGGGATTTTCAATGCAGAAATGCTTTGTTTTTGCTGTGACCAAAGCATATTACTGGAAAGTTGAGTGGAAGGAAAATGTGTGGTAGAAAAACATGCATTTTGGATTAAAAGTACCAATTCCAGGACTAATAGCCATGAAGTCACTGAGCTTGACTGGTCAGCAAAAGCTTGATTTACTTTCATGTCACTTCAATGAAGTAACTCATCCAAACGGAGCCACAGTCTAGAAGTGACATACCTTTTGGCAGGTTAATATTTCTATTTTTGTTTTTTTAATATATGTTCAAACTCAAGAATGGGCCTTGCTTTAAAATCCTCCTAAGGCTGTGTTGCTTGTGCACCTTTTTCTACCTCAGTTTTTCCTTTCACTAAGCTTTCCTGTACTTATTCTTGGACTCAGCACTCTTGGACAACTATCAACTTGGCCTGCTTCTCTATAGCTGCATGGGCCTTAAATTAAATTAATGCATTAAATTAAAAAAAAATTTTTTTTTGTAAGTATTACATAAAATTTTAGTTTATGGAGTGACTGAACTTTGCATTTTTATTAGCGATAAGCTCACAAATACTTGAAATATAAACCCACACCTGAGTTTAATTGTGGACTGAATCACTTAAATGAACTTTTCGAAGATATTTAAATTTCTCAAGCTGCGCCTGTAAATACTTCTGTTTGTTTGCACGGATTTGTGAACGTCAAAGAAAAAACTTTGACGTTCACAAATCCGTGCAATAGATCATAAAAGATTAACGGAAGAGTATGAATGTTGCATTCAGTGCTGAAACCAAACTAATCACAAAGTAACCCAAAACCGAGTCAGCTTCGTTTCTTTTATGGAATGAAAGTAAAGCAAAAATAGAGCCTTTTATTTTTCTGTGCCATAAATGAACAACTTTATTTACCTACTTCCGCATCGATCAACAAGGTCCTCGTTGCCGTAGATTTCCTCGCGTAGTCCGCTGAAGCCGACCGGCGATATTTTCGTAAAGGTGTGTTTAACTTTGGACGGGTTTGGTTGGTTAAAAGTCTCAGAAGCTGACAATCAAACACAACGTTGACTCTACATGATGAATGTGATTCTGTGGTTTGTTTTTACATTTCTTACGATGCTGCTCCTCAGACAAAGTCTGGTTGAGGAATAATAAGGGCTTCTGTCTAAAACATCCATCTTGTTTTTCAGGAACCCTGTTTTCTAACCTTGGCTGATGATCTTTGTTTTTCTTTTCTCCCCCCAGTTTTCGTTTCGTTTTTTTTTTTTTTTTTTCCTCTACAAACGTTTCAGCTGAAATCCAGAATTGACGTTTGTCCGAAAACACATTCCATCTTCTGATAAACTCTTTATTTCTCCCCTTTTCTTCCTCATCCAAATGTGAAATGTTTCTTTGAATGCCCCTTCCCGTTGGAATTTAGCAATAATATTTGACACTAAAAAGTAAAAACGAAAAAAAAAAAAAACAATAAAGGGAATAAGAACATATATCTGTAATACGTTGAGCCAAGTGAACCTGGAACTGTTCGGTCTCGCTGTTGAAGATGTTTCAAACGTCACGTCTGAGTTGTTAGTCGATCTGTGTTTGACTCGTTTGTGTTCAACCTGCCTTTTTTTTTTACCTCCTGCTGCCTCTGATGTTCTGTTGAGGACCTGAACAAAAATGTGAGCGTTTGTAGCTTCGGGAGAGCCCCGAAAACTATTCGATCGCCTGCAAACGATTTAGCTTCTCACTGCTGTTGCATGAACACCTCCAACCTCTCAGTCTGGTACGTTTAGGATATTTTTTTCACGCCAGTTTGTTAGAAAAGCGTGGCGAGAACGTGTTCCCCAAAACGATAAATACATGAAATGAGGGTCAACGATTACCATGCATAGTCTCTTTCTCAGCTGGGACTTTAAAAGATTATGTGGAGGTATTTTATTTTATTATTTTATTTTTTTAGATAAAGCTTTTGTTCTTCCTAGCTGGGCTCTACTTAACTTAGATCTAGTTATGCAACAACTGATTCCTGAGGGAAGTATGTTTCATAGAGAGCCACTGAGGACCCGACTCTGCAGAGCAGCTGGGGGACTGAGGGGACGGGAGGAGGGTCCGGTCCGGTCCGGTGCTATGGAATGCAATACTTCCCCATCTGTATCAAGTGCATTACACATATGCTGTATTTTTTAATACAGAGAGTTTTACAGTGTATAAATAGTATTTATCACTGTACAACGCTTGTTCAGTGTTATTTATGAAAGAGAAAATAAAACTTGACAGACTTTGTTACATGTGTTTTTGTTCTTTGCTTTGCTCTTTTTAAAACCGATGCCGAGGTTTCAGCAGACCTGACGTGTAAAAAGCAGCATGAAGTTAAATCATCTTGAAAATAAACATGCAGTTCAATCTAGGCAATAAATCAACAGGTCATATCAACCTTTGTTTTTTTACTAATTTAGCTAAAATCAGAAATTAATGCAATAAATATAATACTTATGTAGTTATTGCTATATTCATTACACATATTTAATTATTAATTTTATTAAGTTAATTTCATATACTGCACTAAACTACATTTTCAGTGTAATACTGAAATACACAAAATACATATTTTGTGTAAATCTGACTTGGTATAACAAAGAAAAATTACATATTTAATTTTTTTTTTTATTTAAAATTTTTTATTTTGTGTTTTTAGATACATATATATATATATTGAGTCTTATAAGCATCTAATCTTAAAGTATTTTTTCATAATCCAGTAAATAAAATTACCAATACTGGTAATGTATGTGTAGGCAAATACACATTTAAGTAAATTCATAAATCATAACTTCATCAAAATTGGCAATAAATAAAGTTATCTATACCGTTTGAGTGATACAGCCGAATAAAATGAATCAAATTTATTAATAAATTAATAGGGATATTATTAATGCAAATTTGATTAAATAATATGCTGAAGGGTTTTCACAAAACTTTGGTTCAGCCTTAATTTTTATTGCGCTGAAGCTCATTCTTTATCGCATTTTAGAATTATTTACAATTATTTTACCTCAACAAAAACATGATTTTATTTTTCTGAAGATTTATGATTTTCTTTACTTCTATTAATATGTTTTCTAAATAATCAATAATTACATCATCTGCATTTGTATCTGAAAAAATGTGGTTGAGTTTGTTTCGAAATTTTATTGTTAAAATTAAGTTTGCTGAAGTTTCAGAATAATTTTTGCTCTTTGTTGTATTTTATGCATAGTATGTTTTCTGCCATAATTTTTCATATATATTTTTTACTTATTTATTTAGTATTTTTCTTGATGTAACTTCAAAAACATTTATTTAATTTGCAGCATTTTCCTTTGTATTGAAAGCAACATTGTGCCACCTGCTGAAAGATTATCTTCCATCTCTAAACACTTTTCAGTAATTGCATTTTGTTGATGTGATTTTTACTTTTCTTATTTTGACATTATGTTAAACTCAATTTTTGTTTTTGCATTTATGTAATATTTTTCCTCAATCGAACTTTTGTTCTTTTATGTTCGCAGTTACATAGAAATATTGAATCAGTGAATTTTGGGATATTTTTTCTCTGTTGAAATGTTACGCCTTAAGCATGTATTTAACATACAACATTTTTGTTGTGTCTTGAAGTTTTTATGTTTGTTTGTTTTTTTGTTTTTTTTGAAGGGTTCTGATTGACGGGATTTGAGCCTCAGATCGTGGATCTTTCCAGAGAAATCCCTGTCAGAGTCCAACATTTACAAAGAAACAAAGCTTCCCCTCACACGATCTGCTGATCTTCTCTGGACTGAGGTCAGATCTGAGTCAGATCCATCATCATCATCATCATCATCATCCTACAACATCACGCCAAAGGACAAGCTCGTCCCAGAGGCTCCCAGTCAGGCACATGGACACGTCGGGGGCAATTCCAAGGATATTCATAGTGACGGAGCTCCAGCGAGGAGCTGCAGCCATCACTGAGGGCTCTGCTCCTGAAAAACATGTGTGAGACTGATGGCTCTGGACGGGGCGAGGAGTGAAATGATAAAAGAGGCCGAGGGGAGAAAGCGAGATGATGCTGGAGCACATCCACGCTGCCTCGCGGGCGAAAAAACTTATGGTTGCGAGACGAGCGGCTGTGGATTTGTGGAGGAGGAAGACGGGCCTGTGGCAGGAAGACGCTGCTCCGGGCAGAGGGATAAATCACATGACTGGTGTCTTGGCTCAGGCAGCTGCTGGATCTTATATGAGCTGCTCCTGATCTCTGTGAGCTTTACAGTATGAGGGGACTTTTTATTTTATTGATTTTTATTTTTATTTTTTTACCTTAATCAGTGAAAATCCTTCTGCAGCTGGTTGCTGTTTTTTTTTTCTTTTAAATAAAAGAAAGAGAGATAGATACGCATGGAAAAACATTAATTGTTCATGCTTAATAGAAAAACATCTCCAACAAGAAAAGCAGATACTTATGTTTTCGTGTGTACAGACTGTTAAGGGGTTTTATCCTGATGTCCTTGCACAGGAAACCAGAAAGACAAACAAGAGAGGAGGGCATGAGGCTCCCAGGGAGGAGTCACTTCAGTGTGTGACTTCTCCTAATGTCAGCAGAGAATAATCTGATCAACATTTAGACCGGATGGAGGGGACATCATAAAAACCTGGCACAGATTACCAAGATGGATCTGATCTAAAATAATAACACAGTGTGAAAAAATATCTGCTCCTCTCAGATGCCTCCTGCTGTACCTGTTTTTTGTGACGCCCCCGTATCAGATTATAGATTATTATGGGACAAAACAAACCAGATCAACCTGTCTGTATGTGAAAAAGTGACTGTCGTAGTTCGGGCGGCAGCTGTGGAGGATTTTGCGTCTACTCCTCCATGCAGAATTGTTTTAATAATTCAGAATCATTGGAGGCTCTTTTTGGAGCATTTGCAGCCCTTTTACACTTCAAAATCATGCAATAGTAACAAGCATTTTCAGTCTAGTTTATAGTGCAAATATCAGCAACTTTTAAGCATGATAAAGGGGATTGTTTTGAGTCGGTAAATCTTTAATATTCACGAAAAAGTGCTAGTTTTAAGTGAAATTATCTTCCAGAGGAACAGGACATCTTCTCCCCATAGTTTGAAAAATAATATGAAATAATGTTTAATTGGGCTGACAAATTATTTCACTTTTAACTAGTACTTTCTTTATCAGTACTAAGGAACTATTGACTTAAAACAAGCTCCTATATCATGCTGAAAAGCTACTTGCAAGGTTTGTCTTATTTCAAGTGTACCAAGATATTTGCATCAGAAACCAGACTAAAAAAAATACTTGGTAAGATTTAGTGTTTTTGCATTGTAAGGTTATTGTCAATGTGCACATTTAAGCTGAGTCTTTGACTAGGCCAATCCAAAAACCTTCATTTTCGTTGTGTTTTAGATCATTTTAATGCAGCATAACACTAATGTGTTTGCGCTCAAGGTCGTGAACTAATGGTGGGACATTCTGCTTCAGTTTCATGTGTTAGAGACAATTTCCATCAATTACACCAAGTCATTAAAGTGCAACAGCAGCAAAGCAACCCTCAACTATCCCACTAATGTCCTGTTTCTGAATGCTGAGTTTGTTTTGAGTGTTTCTTTGGGGTGGAAACCTGTCCATAGTGCAGCCGGGTTTTACCTAATGACCACTGGAGATGGACGCTAGCCCAGTGCTGTGATGAATGGATTAATTTATTACACAACAGATCTAAGGAGACATTCCTCACCTTCGTCTCGTAAGTCCACAGAGTATTTTTCTTGAGGATCAAGTTGTTTTTGGTCATCAGTGGTTTTGTCCTTTTAACTCTCGTGCAGCCTGATGACATTTTTTGGTCAATTTCTTATTCCTGAGTCATAAACTCCGACGTTAACTGAGGCAAGTGAGTGTTTAAGATGTCATTGCCACCAGAATGAGTCATCGATTCGCTGTTGACGTAATTCTGGCAGACCAGATCTCTTTGATGTTTACATTTGTAGTTGGAAGCTCTCACTTTGCGTCAACTCCAAAAAGGCCTAGAAATGTTTGTTGACATCAACAACTATGTTTTGTTTTTGTTTAAAGTATTTGCATTGAGGCATTTACATGTTGCTCTTTGATTTTTTTTTTTTGGTCAGACAGGTTCTACTGAATAGTTTTGAGAACAGTAATGAGACCTGTGTGTAGCCAGTGATACTGCATTCAGCTGTCTGAAAATTGTGGAATATGACAGAAGTTATTTTAACAAGGATACAGATCATTTTGTCAGATTAATGTTCCCTAAAAAAAAAGAAAAAGAAACTTAATTTTAAACATTGCATTCTGTATTTATCCAGGTTACCTTTGATATTTCCAAACTTTCTTTCTGACTAAATATTTTCTTTCCCAGTTTGAGTTCAGATGTTTAGTATTTAAGCTATGGGTCCATGATCCGTGTTTCAGATTTTCCAGGACAGCAGCGCTGCTTTAAAAAAAAGCACTATAACCTAACACTGCCCTCTAGTGGCAACACGCAAAACACCAAATATGCCTGGAAACTTACACAATGTGTTTGACAAGTACAAAATGTACATTTATTAGTTTTTTGTTGCGTAAAGAGAAAAATCTTGTTGCAGTCACCTTCATCATTAAAAGAGGAGCAGGTGAAAAGATTCAGGCTGCCGTCACGCCTCACAGTGGTATTTTTCTGTCAGCAGTTTTATGGGAGTCGGATGGAAGGCATGAAATTTCAACCTCAGCTGTGGTTTCCAAACAAGACGGATGTTTTTATTAACTCATCTTAGAACTGCGTGGAGATAAAACAAATCAAGACCTGACGTTAACAAGCAACACATGTCAGCTCAGGCCTATTTTCAGTGAGAGTTTGGCAGATTAAAAAAAAAAAAAAAACGGAGCAGCAGATGTTCGCTAAAATGCTTCCAGCTTTTTTCGAGTGTTTCTACCCTGCGGTGAAGCTGCAGTAAATGCCCCAGTGATCGCTCGTGTAGCGGCCACAGTCCAGCTTCTCCAGTCCGATTAGGGCCATGTGATCCGGGGCCAAACGTGGTACTCCTTCCTTGGAGGCTGGCCGGAGGTAGACGCGGTCGAAGCGGCAGCGGCTGACGAAGGGAACGGTCTTGTTGTTGTTGGCCTTGGTGTCCCACGTGTAGCGGCAGTGCTCCTGCTTGCCCAGTCGCTCCCACACGTCGCAGACGCCAGACGGCAGGCCCACTTTGGCTACCTGGCGAGCCCAGAACAAAGAGGAATTTATAACGTGCGTTGAAGCAGA